GCACCACGCTCGTGAATGCACTGTGCGGCGTTGCAGGGGGACTGTTGAAGACGCGACGGCTCAGGATGGGCAGAAGGAAGTTTGGTGTTATCTCATAAATCATGGCGAAATGTAATTTCATTGGCCACTGGCTTGCCAACCTTGGCAAACGACAACTTTGGAAATGACGGCATATGGCTGCACACCATGTCGTTAAGAAATCATGTGGCTCTCTGGCTAAGTGGCTCAGGATAGATGTCATGTACGTAAGGTCGATGGGAATGTACTTTTCATTTATATATTGTTCCAGAGTGCCGGCTGTTTTCAAGGTCACGGCAACAGTTCGCGACGCTGTAAGCCGACCGTGCCCGACCACCCGATGCCGCCCTGTCCGTTCATGGCATGCCGCCGTGCGTGACACGATGCCGCGATGTCCGTTCATGGCATGCCGCCGTGCGTGACCCGTTGTGCTCAAATTCGATTTGCGACCGATCTAGAGGAGATCCCATCGACTCCTTTTTTGTTTGAATGGTAATAAACTGGCCTTCAGTCGCATATTAGTTTAAAGAAAATCGAAGCGCAACATTTTTTCTCAGAAAACTAGGTCAAATGCGAAACTAGACCACTGAATTTACCTAGTTGAGCTTCAAGGTTATGTTGCCCAATGTTTCAGAAAAATGTAGCCATTTGGATTTCCATGGCAGATCCGCAAAACATTTTACTTCGCAAGCTATATTTGCTAGATCGAATTGAAACATAGCGTTTGTGACGACATCACGTATTTTTACTTGCTTCTAGTTCCTTATCGGTACGCCGTATGATCCTAAAACTTACAGGATAATGTTTTAGCCCAAAAATTACCTCATTAAAAGCCCTTGTCCAGTTTGAAGGGAGCCCGGGCTGAAATAAACTTATCCGCGGTCGACTTGTGGAATAACCCAATAACGGGCGAGAACAGTATGAAGCTGTGTATATATTCATGTTCCACTCAGCTGCTAATCAATTCAATTGGGCCAAGCTTCCAAAACTTTGAGTTCTTCGGCAAATGTTGACCTGCGTTTGCTCAATTTGTACAACTTGGGTTACTGATGTCTCATATCCACTATGGGGTTTCTGTTACCGGGGCTCTTGCTATAAAAATCAAGATATGATTTTTCATGGCTGCATCGTGTTTGTGAATTCACTCTTGTGTTGGGATGGCTTTAAAGCCTGAGTAGAAGCAAAAAATGCAACATTTTTGTTTCTTACATTTTTTCCATAAAAGCCAGTCAAGTCTGGTCCGAAACCCGGCCAAAACCCGGCGGTTTCTTGAGGGTCAGATTTAGCGGGTTTACGAGTTTAACTGCTTCGTCTGTGGTAAAGACAACCCTGATATCTTAATCGGATCTGATATTTGGGTCGACAGAATTAGACGCCTTGGTCGCTTTCACTCAGGAGCTATAGAGTTGACATTCTTGACGTGACTGATGGTGTCAAAGGTTTTAGGCTATACATGGGCATTGAAAAGCACGAAAATCTTTGGGTGGTTTCAACACCCGTTGGATATCATGGCTTATTTACGTCGGCATAGCTTCATGGTTTGTTTGCATCAAACGAAAAAGCGTGCTCTTGTACTTTGAAAACATACCATGCAAAAAAAAAAAATGAAACGCTAGGTTATGTAGGCCAAGGCCATGTCAGAGCAAGGTAAAGTCGCTTAATCTGATGCGACTGTTTTGCTTTTTCGGTTCACATTACATATGCAGGCCAAAGGCTTGTGAATGCGTTAGTTATACTGACTAATTTACCGCACATATGTGCAACAAAACGGTTTGTTTACCGCTGGTAGTTAATCTCTCATGACCTTCGAAAATGACCTGGTGTCATCCATACACTGGGGCTGACCCCAAATGCCATACAGTCAAATAAACTGACAAAGAGCATCAAAGTCATCCAAAACAGGAAAGGAAACCATGAATTACTGCATGCGGGGGCAAAAAATCACCGCGCAAGCCGCCTACTGACTAAGACATGACCCAGCTGCCTGACCTAACGTAGCAACGTTGACTCGAGAATGCGTCAAATTGGTCATCTGTCAGGCGTTGTACATTTGTTGGACGCTCCCGCCACAGTCCAAAAGTCACCTCGGAAATCCGGGGAGGGGCTGCTTAACCCCCCAGGCGATCGCACGCAAACATTGACACGGCGGCCAGCTGTCGTGCCCCGTGCGCCTTGCCGACACGGGGTGCACTCCCACAAGCGACCTATCGTGGGGCGGCGTGGCCCGTGGCCCCGCTGCATCAATGCATTTGTGTCTTGTAGGCAGTGTGCAGCTATTCATCACTTCGCGGATGCGGCTTTGGCTGTCGTCGTAATGCATGTTCTGTGTTTCTCGGGCTATCTTGGGTTATGTATTCATTTCTGAGCAGCATACATTGTTGTTTTTTAGCGACGTCGCCGCGTCAGCCTCCGAGGAAATAACGACGCATCTCTAGCATATATCCAGCTAACATGTGCAGCTTCAGAAAGCTACTGACGCCAGGAGCGATTAACTCTTAGGTACTGTGACCGGCCGTTAGCTGTTGGCAGGGCGCTCCTAACAAGTGTCAAGGGCCTCTTTCTGTCAAGAGAATGTCATCGCGCTATCACTTCCTGCGGTCTCCACCGTTCCATGCAAGTCACTGTTTCCAGACTAATGGCTGTTAATTACGTCCCGTTGTCTCCAGGATAAAGGCCAGCAGGTGAACCATTCCCAGGTCACCGTAGGGGTCATAATTACTGATGCGATGCCGTTGTACTAATGCCATAAAAGCGTGTGTCGCCAACCACACTGTCAGTGATGTCATCAGTGATCACTGATGTCACTGTCATCAGTGATGTGGATGTTTCGTTGTAATTTATAGATTAAACACGTGCCGTGACCCAGTGTTGAAGCTGTGTAAACTGTAAAATGTGTAAAAGTGTTTAAATTAGTCTGTCACCACCTGAATATACGGATAGCATACTCGGGCATGCTGCGACAAGCTTCGCCCGACGGTCGCCAGTTTCCCTGCTTACCAAAGCTATTTGATGATGACCTCTCTCAGCGGAATAGCTTTATGCGGTCGGAAAGTTTAGTGGTGGCGTGGCGTAGAAGTTATGTTTGAATACGCAACAACCATCACTGATTGCGACGTTGAGCGACAGCCATCGCTGCCGATTTGTGTGACGACTGTCGTCGCCGCTGCCGGGCCCGCGGAGGGCCGCCAGCTGCCCGTGCTGTCGTACGAGCAGCGGCAGGATGTTGCCGGAGCTTGAGGGCTGGCCAGACGGCTGGTCGAGCTGTCGCCCGCCGGGTGATCGCGCCGCTGCGACAGGGGATGCTGGCCACGCCCACGCGAGGCCCTCCTTTGGCATGCACGTTTTTGCACTGAGACGCACAAGGCCATATCGGCGTGTCCGTCGCTGATTGCATGGATGAGTTCAGAGGCAGGCGTGAGTCAGTGCCCCAAACGAGCTGAGTTCATGCACGAGTCCGAGGTGCGGTGTCTTGAATCCGGGTAGGAGGGCCGAGTCCATCCGCTTGAGTATATCATGGTAGCGCGAACGCGAGTCGCGAGTCCTGGGCCTTGAGCCCATATGCGGATCTATTCAGTTTCACTTTACATAAGCCTGAGTAATTGGTCTAAGTGCTAGATTGGGTTGAGACTGAATCCTAGTTGTATGACCTCGAGTTCCAGTACATCAGCTCCTGAACACGGCATCTGGGGCTGATATACGCCGACTGATATAAGTAAGATATTGGAATTCAGCTCCCGGTTTTCGATATTATGATTTCAGAGTTCTTGTGCTGAGCCATGGACCTTTAATATATCAAGAGGTAATGATGAAGTGAAATTATAGAGCAAACATTTGATACGAACATTTGAATGCGCACAAATTCTAAGATCTTTGGATCTGCGTCGTCTTAAGTTTTCGCCAAGACTTCCATATGCCATGTATGCAGCAATAGAGAATAATGCAACAACTAACGCCTTAAGATAACAATGTTGGCAACAGCTGAAGGGAACGTGAACCTCAGGATCTTGGATTCATTGCATAGTCGCAATCTTCGTCCGAAGCTGAACACAAAATTCATCGTGATACCGCGTTTGAGCAGCATTGCTTAGAACATGCGTGTTTAAAAAATATGAACACCGATTATCACTGCAATTTTTTCCTATCGTGTTACCCGACACGGGTCCTCGAAGCCCTTCGGCTTAGTCATTTGCATTTCGGGCGGTGCAGTATATCTTGCATTGTATTGGGCAGTCCAACAAGCAAAGCTGGATCCTAACTTATGCCTACCGGACTCAACATAACCTGACCTGTCTTTCACAGCCTTGCATTGGAGCAGCCGACACTGCATGCGTTCATATTTTTCGCGAAGTCCAAGTCGCAAATATTGTCCGTCGCCTGGAGCGCGGGGTGGGGGTTGGGCCGATTCGATTCGTGCCGTTTTTGATATCCTTTGGCGTGTCAAATTCGTATTTTGAATTAGTTTAGGCCTCGTTTCAAATTAGGTCCTAGCACCAAGGTACAGTGAAACACTGTTTCTAAGGTCTATTGTCCAGTCAAAACCCTTGCAGAGCAATACTTCGTCATACTGGAAAGAACAACTGGTGGCGATGCCCACGCCGGTGAAGAACGCTCCTTTACTGGCAAATTCTCCTCCCCAGCCAGGATCAATGCCAACACATTGACTAATATTAGACCCATCCCGCGTTGTCGAACGCCATATCGCGGCCCGTCTCGACCGCCACGGCGCCCGTCCGTCAGCTTTATCTTAACGCGCCGTTGACCTGCGCCTATGACCGCTGGCACCGCCCTCCCGCTGGATCGCCCCGCCCCGGCCAGCCCTGGGGCACTCACCACGATGAGGTGTCGCCAGGATGCCAACCTGGCATGCGCCGTTACGAATGGTACGGTCAGCTCGGCGTTCGCTCTGGGCTAAGACGCCGCGAGCAGTGGCGGCCTGCCAGCGCTCCCTCATGCCAGCTGATCACCGCCAGCGCGGTTTCCAGTGCGGACGGCAACTTCGAGGTGACGCTGGCGACGAAGGCGACTCTGCACTACAACGGCCTGGTGGAGTGGGAGCCGCCGGCCATCTACAAGTCCTCCTGCGAGATCGACGTGGAGTACTTCCCCTTCGACGAGCAGACGTGCGTCATGAAGTTCGGCAGCTGGACGTATGACGGCTTCCAGGTGAGCCTGGACGGCGTCGCGTCTGCCACAGACCGGAAACAGCAACACGGACGCCGGTGAGGCCCGAGACAATCACGAGTTAGCTATTTTTTGACGGCACACATGTCCGCTGTGTGATTGTGTACAGCTGGTGGACTGAAGCTGTGAGCCGGCATATGTAGGCCGCTTACTTCTGACCTGACAGTCAGCCTTTGACCTTTGCCCAGCCGACAGTCAGCCTCTGCCCTCTTACCCGCTACCAGTCATCCTCTGACCTCTGACCTGCTGTCAGTCAGCTCTGATTTCTGACCTGCTGTCAGTCAGCCTCTGACCTCTGATCCGCTGCAAGTCAGCCTCTGACCTTTGACCAGCTGCCTCTCAGCCTCTCAACTCTGAACGACCAACGGTCAGCCTCTGATCTCTGACCTGCTGACAGTCAGCCTCTGACCTCTGACCTGCTGTCAGTCAGCCTCTGACCTCTGATCTGCTGCAAGTCAGCCTCTGACCTTTGACCAGCTGCCTCTCAGCCTCTCAGCTCTGAACGACCAACGGTCAGCCTCTGATCTCTGACCTGCTGACAGTCAGCCTCTGACCTCTGACCAACTGATAGTTAACCTGCGACCTCTAATCGGCCCACAGTCAGCCTCTAACCTCTAACCAGCCGACAGTCAGCTTCTGACCTCTGACCAGGCGACAGCCGGCCTTTGCACTCTGAGCGGCCAGCAGTCAATTTCTGACCTCTGACCAGCCGACAGTCAGTGTAACGTCTCATGTGTTGACAGCCGATCATCTCTGACCTGTGACCAGCTGACCACCGAGCTTCAGCCTCTGACCGGCCGGTGGCATCGAGACCAGCTCGGCGCCCGTCGCTCGCACTGGGCATCGCCAGCTACCATGTTAGGGCCGCGGCACGCTCTTTCCAGCGTCGTCAAATTGTTCAGAAAGACAAACGAGCGCCATTCGGCGAGTGACGAACCGACAGGAAATGAGTGATCGCCACCGGAATGGGAAAACGGAATGATACGCCCCCACTGCCTGCCTGGCCCGGTGGCGGCGACAGAACCGGACAGCTCGTCTACCTGATCCTGCGCTGATTGGAAATGGAGGGGTCGAATAGGAGGACATTTCCCACAGCGGGATGCTCTTGTGTGGGCCCGTGTATGGAAAACCGTATTGTGTGCGCTGCGTGCACGCGTTGGCTTATGTTTTATCCTTCTTTTGACTTGCCTAAATCCGTTTGGCTTACCGAAATCCAGTCCTGATTTTTCGGAGCTGCTTAATTGCTAGATAGTTATCATGCATGTATCACGTACGTACCCAGGTTTTTCGTCTTCCTTTTTCCTGGCTTTACCATTTCCTGCTCCTGGATTCCCCATTGAGACATTTTGAAACATTTGTGGCAACGTAAGTTTAGGTACCGACAGTGAGCCTCAACTCCTAAACAAGTAAAGCCGCCCCTCAAATGTCAAAATTTCAGGGATGGAGTTCAATTCAGCACAACACTCAAGCGAAACACACTAGGTGAAAACGTTGTTAATACTGTTAAAAACGTTGTTAAAAACTGTTAGCAAACATTGCTAGGAACGGCTAATGGCTTGCGCGGAGGCCCCGCTGTCACCGTCGCCGGAGCCAATATCACGTTTATATTCATTATCTCTTACGCATTTTCATGTGCTCAATGAACAGTAACGATCTCTAGTAGCACATCTCCGGCCCGAACCTGAATCTTTGCGCACGCTCGTGCTCCCGACGCGTCCGACAATGCGACATGGGCGCTGGCGCCACACCAGTCATCGACGCGTCCGACAATGCGACATGGGCGCTGGCGCCACACCAGTCATCGGTGTGGCGGACCGGCCGCGGCGACCAGCGAGCGGGCTGCGACATTCCCCCAGCGGCCTCACCCCAGGCAAGCGGTCACGCGAAGCCAGGTGTACATCAGCACCCTGGGGGCATTACTGGCTGAGTCATCACGCTGCCACTCCGATAGTGGATGGTGGATGCAGCAGAGAGAGAGGGGGGGGGGGGGGAGCGGGCAAGTGAGGGACAGACCATGCCGTCTAGCGAGGCCCGTTTCAGAAATGACGACCCCTCTGATTGGATTTGGAGCAGCGAAGTGATAGGGGGAGGCGAGACATTCTTCTCCGCTGTCGCCGGTGTCGGCAGCTAATAGAATTTCCGGCGCGCGTCCGTTTGCGCGACGGCCGTTTGGTATGCTGGGCGGGCGCGGCAGCCGGCGCAGTGGTATCTGATTTCGGTGGTCCCCTGCTGCAACGGCTCGGCCGCGCTTTATGTGGCAGGCCGATGGCGATGGTGGGCTTGCCTTCCGACCGTCGGACGGTGGTGGCGCTCCCACAAACACGCCAGTCGCACAAACACGCGAACCACAAGGCCCGCGCGCGCGCCGCCCATTTAGAGATGCGGAGCGAGATTAGGCTCGGGCCAGAGGCGTGGAAGGTAGTCGACGATTGGCCCCAGCGTCCAGCGGCACCGGCGGCGGTGGACGTCGCGCGGCCGTTTGGGGAGGCGCCGGCTGGTCACGGGAAAACGGGGACTCCTCCAGCGACCAGCAATTCTATGACGTCACCGGTCAGGGATGTTATTGGGCAGTATCTGGGTGCACTACCCTTGTGAGAAGACTAGCAACGTTGCTATATTTTCAGGCTTAGATAACTGCAGCAACGCGTTCTTGCTGCGCTCTGACCGTGAACGATACGAGGATTGCTTATTTTAATTTTACCTCTCCGAGGTGCCCAGCCATTGTTGCAAAAGTGCCAAATCGACGATTTTTCGGCTTAATTTTACCTCTGAAAAATATCTATGAGCTAATTCATATAGATACTGGTTACACGCTCAGTGAGACTCGAGCTTACATGTTTGTGCTATGATATTCTATCACCTGTACACTGCGGTGAGCGGGACATTGTAACAAAGGCGATGTAAGCCCGTTACGCCGTCATTATTGTTTTAATCACATGCAGTTTGACAGCCAGGACCGTCACACCTTAGGCACTCTCGTGCGAGAGGGATTGTAAGATCAAATTGGACGTGGTTGATAAATGCAAATGGCATGCATTTACATTCCCATGGTTGGACGCTGCCTGCATTCAGTTGCTGCCTACGGACTGTTACATTCCCATGACATTCCAATGTTTCTATTGCAGTGACCGTTCCTGTAACGCATGATTTAATCGATATGCATGACATACATGGATGAATGAGGCCTCCCAAGGATCGGCCGCCAGGCAGGAATACTTGTAAGTCAAAGTGCATGCTGGTTTTAGACCCAGAAGCGGTGCCTGCCTGCTCGTAAGTGTGCGTGTGTTTCCCGCTGTCAGGTGGACCTGCGCCACTTTGATGAGATCGAGAACTCGGACCTGGTGGAGCGAGGAGTGGATCTGTCCGAGTTCTACATGTCCGTGGAGTGGGACATCCTGGACGTGCCAGCCGTCAGGTGAGCAGCGATCGCTGCCGCGCTGGGCTGACTCATGCTGGGCGCCTGACCAGCTTATATTCTCTGCGAAGGTGGCACGCTCGAATGCTGGAGGCTCTAGAGCTGTGAAAAATGGGAATTAGCTAATGACTGGGCCGAGAAGAAAACTGTCGCGTGTGTGCAATAAGGCGTGATATATAGCGGAACGACCCACGTTTAGACCCGCTTGGGTTAGCTCTAAGTGTTGTTTAAGTTCATGAGATACCCGCCGAAGTAAAGCGTATTGAAACGCCATTATGTGAGCGGAACGCCAAAAACGAATCCGCCCCCCCCCCCCCCCCCCACCGGCGCCTGGCCCTGATGAAATGCATCAGCCCATTAGGAGTGCATCACTTTGTCATGCAATATTTGGCGAGAAATGGCGACATGAATAATTTGCATTGTAGTTACATCTTTCATATAGGACCAGGTGCACGCTATAGGTGCCAAACAATCGTCACACGAACATTTACCGAGCGCTCCACTATGACACCCGCCCATTTACTGTTGTTTATTTCACGTAAGGCGCGCAGTGTACTGCTCCCGTCACAGTTCCGAGATCACACCATCACGATCAAGGCAGCAAGCTGCGCGGGCCTAACAATTCTGAAGCTTCAGCGACTCGGTCCCCTCGTCCCGACCAGTGATGCTATCTTCAATCTGATATGTCTGCAGCCACCGATGGCACGTTCCCGTGATTGTCATATGAAACAATCCAATTTCTTAATAGCTGTGATGTGTGAATTGCTTTGCATTTTTAAGCCAGCTTGCCGATCAGGCGATATTTTGCTACTACATCACTGCGATTTCATCTTCAACGCTGGGTTAACCCGTGGAAACGGATAAGTTTCCGATTGTGAGAAACCTTATGAAAACACGGGTAGAAACCAGGTCCAGATCTCGGCGACGGGTCGTCGCAGCTACACGAAATGAACTATGCTTACGGAGGAGATAAAACACGAAGGCATAGACATTAGTGTCAGTTGATGGGTGAGGAGTCACGCGCTCTCGTACGCAAAATATCTATCAGCCCGTTTGGAGGCATTTTGGAGCATTAATGTCATCCCACAGCCTATGCCGCACATGGCGTTTGCTGGCATTGCAATAGCTTTAAAATGAAGTTACTAACCGATTCGCTATTGATTGCACTAGCTGTAGTCATGGGTCTACACACCTAGCGTCTTCTCATGCTTTTGACATTTAAACAAATCAACAGCGATGACAAAAATGCACGCCTGTCCGGTTTATGCCTCACTCTCCAATGCCAGCACTCCGCTGGGGAATTCATCAGAGCAAACCGCCGCACCAGCTGGCCAGGGGTGGTGGCGTTTGTCCGGTCCGCGGAGATATTGTGCCCGGCTTTGATAAACGGCTGCGTCGATCTTCTCCGAGCCGGCAATGGCGGCCGAACCTCACGATCTCATCTGCAGCGCCCAGACGGACTAGGCTCTTGACATCCGGGGAGGGGAAGCAGGGGAGGGCGGGGGGGGGGAGCTCCCTGCGGCGGCACTGGGAGGCGCATTAGGTGTTTATCAGCAGACAGTGTCTGAGGACCCTGGGAGTGCATGTCGGGGATGTGCTGAGGACTACCGGAAAATTCGCTCAGAGGGTGTGGGAAAGCTGCGTCAGCGGGGCTTCGGGAGAGCCCCTCAGAGGGACGCTCCTGGAAGACGTCGTCAAGGAGCCCGCCTTAGGATGCGAGCTTAGGCTAGAACACCGTGGCAGAGACAGAGGTAGAAACGGACAGAGATATTGTGTTATTCGTGACTACACATCAAAACGTGATAACCCATATGCCATTATGACTGCCATCAAACGGCAACCAAGCTCAGTGGTTTCTAGCTGTTCCGTAGGTCTCTTAAGAGGGCGAGTCGGGGATCAGGCAGGAGTCTTGCCGGAGGGTGTGTCAACTGGCACCAAGGAGGAGTGCCAGGAGACTCGCAACTGTTTCGGACCCTTTAGCCTGTGCCGGAGGATCCTGGATTGCAATGTCAGGGACACCCTAGCAGGGTGTGTCGCGTGACGCCCCGGGGGGCGGAGGGCGCGTCAGGATGGTCGCTGGAACCTGTTTCGATGGATCCTGGAAAGTTGTTTCAGTGGCCTGTCATCCCAACAGATAGTGACAAGGTCTCCCGGGAGGTTGTCCTCATTCTCCTGAAATAGCCAACAAAAGTTGCACCTGGAGCACCCGTGACAGAAGCAGAAGACGTCTCCCCAGGGGAATCAGAGACGTACAAGGAGACGGTACGGGGAGCACCAGTTGAGGGGAGCGCGGGGTGCGGCCGAGCCGAGGGTGGGCGTGTGGAGAGGGAGTGGGGATCAGCCAGGGTCGACGGAGGGAGTGGGGATCAGTCAAGGTCGACGGAGGGAGTGGGGATCAGTCAAGGTCGACGGAGGGAGTGGGGATCAGTCAAGGTCGACAGGAGGCGGTGCCGCACGACTGGGCGGCCGCTCATGGCTCATCGTGACCGCGGTAATGTATGGGGCACACTGGCCGCCGGATGCGGGCGGACGCTGCGCCCGGAGATCCATGACCGGGTCGTTACCGAACCCCCCCCCCCCCCCTGATCGACTTCCGCCGATCCGTCGGGAAAATCGCGGCAGAAGCGTGAAGGTCCCGGGGAAATGTACGGGCTCGCGGGCGGAGCGGTGGGAGGCGCCGTTTAATCGTTCTTAACGTGGAGTCTACCCGAGTGGTATGCCAGCGTGACGGCTGTGACACGGCCGGTGTTGCGGCAGGTGATGCAGGTGAGGGCAGGTGATGCGCCCCAGCCCACTGCCTGGCCACTGTCTCGGTACCGCAGCCCACCGCCCGGCCACTGTCTCGGTACCGCAGCCCACCGCCCGGCCACTGTCTCGGTACCGCAGCCCACCGCCCGGCCACTGTCTCGGTACCGCAGCCCACCGCCCGGCCACTGTCTCAGTACCCCAGCCCACCACCCGGCCACGGTCTCAGTACCCCAGCCCACCACCCGGCCACGGTCTCAGTACCCCAGCCCACCGCCAAGCCACGGTCTCAGTACCCCAACCCACCGCCCGGCCACGGTCTCAGTACCCCAGCCCACCACCCGGCCACGGTCTCAGTACCCCAGCCCACCGCCAAGCCACGGTCTCAGTACCCCAACCCACCGCCCGGCCACGGTCTCAGTACCCCAGCCCACCGCCCGGCCACGGTCTCAGTACCCCAGCCCACCACCCGGCCACGGTCTCAGTACCCCAGCCCACCGCCAAGCCACGGTCTCGGTACCCCAACCCACCGCCCGGCCACGGTCTCAGTACCCCAGCCCACCGCCCGGCCACGGTCTCAGTACCCCAGCCCACCGCCAAGCCACGGTCTCAGTGCCCCAACCCACCGCCCGATACCGGTTTTGGCATGCCGCGACTCCTAGCACATATAAGGCCGAATGGGGTCTTTCATTCAGTCGCTTCTATTTTGCTGTCAAGATGGCGAGCGGTCCTGTTGCTGGACAATACACGGTCGTGTTGCTGGACAATACACGGTCCTATTGCTGGACAATACACGGTCCTGTTGCTGGACAATACACGGTCCTGTTTCTGAACAATACACGATCCTGTTGTTGGACAATATACGGTCCTGTTGCTGGACAATATACGGTCCTGTCGCTGGACAAAGCACGTTCTCTTGCGTACTGAACATGATTTTTCCCAAAACCCGCTCACGTGGTTTGGTCAGTTTTATGGTCAATCATGTGCCGTTTCTACCGCGTTAATAAACCATCCTGTGTGGGCTTTTCTTCCGAGATTCTTTTTAAAAGGTCCTGCTTTAATCCCAGGGCTTCAATTGGTTTCCGCGTTCATGGTCCTCAGAGGTCGTCTCGTGGCTGCAAAACATGGCCGTGTCGTGCTGCGGCCACCCAGGGTCGCCCTGCGCTCCCCTAAGACTTTGTGAGGTCCCCTGACGTCCTCAAGACTGTCTGATGCATCTTATGGTCCCATCGCATTTCCTTGAAACACCCTGATTTCCATGTGCTAACCTTGGCGTCAACTTTAGACCCCGTGATGCCTTTCTGCAGCGACAAGTGACCGCCTTGCACTTTTAACGACCCCGAGGTCCTCTGAGACCCACCTCAGAGGCTCCCAGGGGTCTTTTCAGGCTAACTTGACGTTACTTCAGACACATTATGAAAGGCGTTTAGCGAGGACAGCCACGCCGTAATTCTGTTGAGGCTCCCTGTGATCCCTGAGTTTCCCGAGGTCCCCTGAGGTCCCCTGAGGTCCCTTGAGGCCCCCTGAGGTCGTGCCGAGCGCTCATGGCGCTGACGTCTCGGTGGCCGGCGCGGCCGTGACTCGAGGCACCGTCCGTCACCGGGGTGGGTCGAGTGTCGGGGGGAGGAGTCGGCCCGGCCCGTGATGGATGCTGCCGTGTCCGCGCGGCACGCTCACCGACGGCTTAATGAAAACGGATCGGCCTCGGACGAGACTGGGGTCGGCGCTCATGGGCGCCCCGACTCAAAGGACGCCGGTCTCGTCCGCTACGCAACGGCCCGGCCTGACGGGCACGTGGAAGGGGGAAGACAGCCTTGGGACAGGCACATACAGGCGGCATACTCTCCTGTCGTTGGTGGTTTTAATGCCAGGCTTCTCTGCGAAGTTTATTGGCATGAAATGCACACGTTTTGGATCACCTGCCGACACTTCTTCGTCCAACGTTCATCTTGCGAATCCCACAGCGGGAACGAGAGCGGTGACCGCCCCCAGCCGTGCAACCGGTCAGGGCCGGCAGCCGCGCCGACAAGATTGCCCTGCCGGCTGGGTGACCCCTACCTACCGGCCGGGGATCGCCCCACCGGCCGGGTGGCCCTACCTACTGGCCGGGGATCGCCCCACCGGCCGGGCGATCCCTACCTACCGGCCGGGGATCGCCCCACCGGCCGGGTGACCCTACCTACCGGCCGGGGATCGCCCCACCGGCCGGGTGACCCTACCTACCGGCCGGGGATCGCCCCACCGGCCGGGCGATCCCTACCTACCGGCCGGGGATCGCCCCACCGGCCGGGTGGCCCTACCTACCGGCCGGGTGATCCTTACCTACCGGCCGGGTGACCCTACCTACCGGCCGGGGATCGCCCCACCGGCCGGGTGGCCCTACCTACCGGCCGGGTGATCCTTACCTACCGGCCGGGTGACCCTACCTACCGGCCGGGGATCGCCCTACCGGCCGGGTGACCCTACCTACCGGCCGGGGATCGCCCTACCGGCCGGGCAGTCCCTACCTACCGGCCGGGTGATCCTTACCTACCGGCCGGGCGATCCCCGCCTACTGGCCGGGGATCGCCCCACCGGCCGGGTGATCCTTACCTACCGGCCGGGCGATCTCTACCTACCGGCCGGGGATCGCCCCACCGGCCGGGTGATCCTTACCTACCGGCCGGGTGATCCTTACCTTCTGGCCGGGGATCGCCCTACCGACCGGGTAATCCCTACCTACCGGCCGGGGATCGCCCCACCGGCCGGGTGATCCTTACCTACCGGCCGGGTGATCCTTACCCTCTGGCCGGGGATCGCCCTACCGGCCGGGTAATCCCTACCTACCGGCCGGGGATCGCCCCACCGGCTGGGCGATGCTCACGGGCTGCGCCGGGACGGATGGTCCCGCTTCCGGGGGCGGAGTCGGATCGTTTCCGGCTGGGCGTGCCGGTCAGGGTCGGGCTGACGGTCGGCGGACGGCCGGCACCGCCGCGTGTGCCACCGCAGCGGGGCTGCTGCGGCGCAAGCACCCCGTCTGTACGTCGGACAGCTGGGTCGCACCTGTGAGGCTGCGGGGACCGTCGCTGGTCTGGCGGGATCGAGCCGTGGAAACTAGCGAGACGTGCTGGAATGTAGAGTCGGAAAGGTCCGGGAGGGCGAGCAAACGAGAAGCAAACATAGAGATGACATAAGAGGAAGAAAGGGCAGAGTTGGAGAAAAGGGGAAGAGGTGAAGAGGATATCAGAGAGGGAGTCAGAGACTTGGAAAGTAAAGAGGGGCTGCCCCCAGCTGGCCAAGTGAAGGGCCACGCGCTGAACGGCGGCGAATCTGGGCTCTGGATCCCAATGAGTTGAGCGGCTTTGAGAGTGGTGTCGGTACTGCAGGAGGTCTTGATAAAAAGGTCTGGAAACTTACCGCGCTGCTAACCAACGCATGGCATGTTCTCTACCAGTGATTACTTCGCAGCTGGAGTCCACCCAATGTTCAGGAACACGAGATGGAGCATTCAGACTTTTGGACGGGGTCGTGGCGCGCCGGGGTATTAGAGTGATTCACATCGTTACGGTCAATCGGGGTGCACCGGCTAACTCGCCCGTCTTCGGCGTCTCCGACGTATCTGTTGACCTTGCCGGGCCCTGGACCGATCCCGCCCCAGTCGAGTTTTGTCGGGGCGGGCGAAGGCAGCTTCCGGCCGGCGCATCCGGTGCTTCGGGAGCGGCACACCTTTCTGAGAGCGTGGTGCGCACGGCCGGGCTGGCTGAATGCCAACATGGTTTGAGGTGGTGTCATATCAGTTGGCGCTGGCACCTTGTGTGGAACACATTGAGCCTCCCGCAAGTACAGTTTTCGAAAGCTTGTGCGGGGAGTGCTGTTCGTGGTGGTTGTGGTGGCGGAGGGATCTATTAGTGTGCGTTACGGTGCCTGCAGAAGTACCTCCTGCTGGACAGCACATCCTCCCAGGTGTGCTGACCACCTACGGAACCAGCATTTGATGGACACTCAAAGATGAGACAACGCTGTGATGCCAGTTGTAACACTGCCATGCAGATTGTATGGCTTGATTGGTTGGTTGTATGGTTGATTGCGTTTTCAGACGGACGCCGAGACCAGTTATGTTAAGCCTTTTTCTTGCTTTCTGCTGATATTTTATTAATACGACATCTATACATGACAGCGCACCCTCACAGCCATCCCGAGCAATCTTACATCAGGGATGAGGATACACGCAGCTGCGCGATGCCACGAGGCCGTTTCTGCGTCGTGTGTACGGTGCACTCTGACGCGCTGCACACCAACCGATACAGCTTAATGTGAGCGACTGCAATGTATACCGAAGGTTGGCACCATGGGATGACCGCCCTCGGCAAAACCTAACGAGTGACATCTCAAGCCGCAGCTCTCAGCAAGAAACAGAAATAATGCCGTGTTCGTCATCCCACACGCTAAAGCAGCGTGACAAAATTCGTCCAGTTGGGTGTCAAGAAGGTCAGCATGAGTGAGACATGTGTCTCTCTGCTGTCGCCTCCACTACGCTTCGCTGGCTGCTAATGGGTTGCCGTTTGATCCCGCAGCTTCACATCCTGACATGTCCGTCAGATTTGCCCTGCCCGAGGCGCATGGATGTCTCGTGAAGAGACAGTGCGTCTGCGCGTCATTCTCGTGAAGAGACAGTGCGTCTGCGTGCCATTCTCGTGAAGAGACAGTGCGTCTGCGTGCCATTCTCGTGAAGAGTCAGTGCTTCTGCGTGCCATCGGGCTCGATCGTGATTGGCCGGTCCTGGGCGAAGGAGTAGTTCCAGAAAGTGAACCGACATTCACTCTCACCAAAAGACGCATTGCGGTAGGAGTGTCTCAAAGTAGACGAGATGTGAAAGGTGGTGTAACTGCGCGACACGGTGATTGCAGGCACGAAAAGTTCTATACGTGCTGTGATGAGCCATATTTAGACATCACCTTCAACATCACCATGCGGAGGAAGACACTGTTCTACACGGTCAACCTCATCATCCCCTGCATGGGCATCTCCTTCCTCACAGTTCTGACGTTCTATCTTCCGTCAGATAGTGGAGAAAAGGTAATTTCCGGTGACTAGCCAGCGACAGCCTAATAAATTTCCTCAAACTGCTGAGGGGCTCAAGCCAAGCCTCATCATCAAGCCTCATTATCACTATCAACTCCTCATTATCATTTTGTTGTCGCTTAATGCGCCTGTGTGTATACCGCCTGTTCTGTTCAGCATAACTATCCAATGCCCATGTGTTTGGAAAGGTAGCAAACAGGAGCGAACCGTTTCCCTTCACCTTTTCTGCGTAAAGTTCCACAATGCTCCATTATTCATCTCCGCGTGTAATGGCACTTTGTCGGCGGAGTTTGCTCTCCGACCTGTGACACCTGTCCCAGTACATCACACAACCTGGCTCAGAGGCGTGCAGCGCCTGCGCCTGCGCCTGCCCCGGCGTCCACTCACCGCCTTGCCACTCTCGCAGGTGACGCTGTCCATCTCGATCCTCATCAGCCTACACGTGTTCTTCCTGCTGGTAGTGGAGATCATTCCCCCCACTTCTCTGGTCGTGCCGCTGCTCGGCAAGTACCTCATCTTCGCCATGATCCTGGTCTCCATCAGGTGAGCCTATTGATGATGGCGGTGGTGGGGGGGGGTGGGGGGGGGGGGGGGGGCTCCACGGTGTCCATCTGATCTTCCATCAGGTTCAGGTCATTCATCGGGTGCCTCTCCAGCCGCTTGCGAAACGAATACAGCTGTCTATCATGCGGCGAGGTCTTATTGGAATGTCACTGATGTGCCGTATAGTTATGTGTCAACAAGGAAGCGGACACGAAAACCCGTACAATGCACATATAATGCACAAAGGTCCCATTCTGCACCAAATATGAAATGCACGAAAACTAAATAAACAGGAAAGATGTCCATCGTTAATCATTTTTTAAACATAAAAATTAACCGTAAAATTGACTACGAAAGGATTTTCGATTCCTGATCATGTACGCATTTGTCGTTTTACGTTTGAGAGTTTGGTTCTCAAGGGCCATTTCATAAAGTATCTGAAGAGTGAAATAACGAACAAGAATATGGTTAGAAGCCAAGAACGATTTCGGGCAGAATTTACCCAGCTACGCTGATAGATCTGATTTCATCCCAACTATTTTATGCATGCTTGCCCTAGGTTTCATGTATCTCAAATTTGGTGCTACACAATGTCTTTATCTGATGAGATCGAATATGTTACTTTCGTTGAGAGAGCTACTATCTATTTCCCTCTCTTAATGGACTCTTACGTAATTGGCAGATTTGAATGTTAAAAGTACTATGCATCTCAGTTGATGTGACTAGTCATGGGACAAATGTCAACTCCACTATACTTGGGTGAGGTGTACCATGGATATCGATGCACATTTGCAGTCCCCGAGCCGACAACGGAACCCTTGGATACCAGAGCGAGCGGGGGGGGGGGGGAGACTTACTCTTACCCAACCCCCAGGACGGTAGAATAGCCGCAGGCAGTGACGAGTTTGGTGCTGCCAACGCTCAGAGAAATTTGATGAACGCGCGCTACAGTCGTTCGACACTGTTATTTTTACAAAAATGGCAATGGTTTCAACGCAGTGCAATTTTTCGGCCTCATATTTGCATAATTATGATGATACTAATCATGAATTTATTGTGAGATCTACAGCAAAAAAGCGCGTTTAACTTTTCGGACCAGGTGTCTATCAACATGATCGTCTGGCGCCGGGCCGATCATGCGGTAAAAAGCTAACTCGAGTTTCTTGAAACAACTTCTGAACCGTTATAAATTTGAAGAGAGCCATGTAATGACCAATTTGCAATGCAGAACTCAAATGCATGACGGGTCTCAGAAATATGGCGTTATTGGTGAAGGTGTTTCCGACGATCTGCTTGAAGTTGGCACCGCCCGAGGCATTTTTCCGTGGGTATTTTCGAGGTGGTAGACCAATTTTGAACGGTGATCTGGTCTGACGAACGTGGGGAGCAGAAATGGTCGGAATGGACTCTCCACAGTATTAACGGTTATTGCCATGCCCTCAATATCCGTTTTGACCTGTTAACATAGGTTTGAACTGTATTCATCGGAATAGCCGCTTTTAAAATTTTGTGACCTGTGGTGACCTCACACTTTACCTAAGGTCCAAAATTTGACATGTGCTCTTTATTATTTGACGAGACCTTCACAACGGTATCTGTTTTTCGACTACGGTGTCTGAAAGTTGGAGATCCCAGTGGGGAAAGCCAACTTCCCCCCGCCGGGCGCGGTTTTCTCAGACCCCTTGCCGGGCGCGAATAAACTTGGGCCTGACTTAACCTTGGTTCTCGGTATTTCAATAATAGTTCATTACGGTGTGGCTTTTGCGTGGCAGAAAAATTAGTTTAGAAGTGGTTTCAGAACAATGCGACCGTTATGCACTTGCACTGGACGGTCCCCAAGTGTTGACAGCTTGGTGGCTATGTAAGAGGATTTACGTTACGCCGGACACCATCACTCACGTGACAGGATGAACACAACGTCGGCTTTGAGAAATGGACTTGGACCATTGATTGCCGCTCGTATTTCTTCGACCCTACCATTACGTTCTGGGAGAGCAGAAGAGGGGAGTGTTGCAACTCATCTTTCAAGCGGGCGCCGTAGGCGAAATACCCAAGGCGGGCCGGAGGTCACGTGACGAATGCAACGGCGCTACAAATGGCCATCAGTGTGACAGTGCCCTAATGATTCCACCGGTTCTGTATGGGTCATAGTCTGCTGCGACCCATTTCTTCACCTATATTAGTTGCACTGATATTTCCCCTTCATATCACCCTACCACGCACCCGTCCTCCCTCTAATTGCTTTCTTCGAAAAAAACACCAACATTTTCCGGTTCGTATGATCTGCATTCCGTGGAAGTCGTGTACCAAAATTAAATTTTAGAAGCTGCACTGAAGCCAGCACTCGACTGAATCTGGAGCACACTGGTGTTCCCAACACCTCGACAGCCTCAGATCGCCCCGGGTCAGCACCGGCCTCGATCGCGGGTACCCGTCCCCTGCGCTGTGTCAAAACCTAATGAGACCGACGCGTCGCCCCTTTTATATGTGTGATCACACTTCCACACTTTTGTCTCATACGCCCGTCCAAGCAACGTACCACGCCGTTCTGAACAGATCTCCTCTAGTCGTGCCTGACGCCGGCGCCGACCGCTCCGAGGCCGCCGGCCATGACCACCCCGTTGCCAGCTAACGACCCGGGCAAAAAGGAAAGAATTTGTTCGGCGAGTCCATGTCCGTGAGCTCTGAGACCGTGATTATCTGCGGCGTAATTGTTGCCGGCGCAGCCGAAAGACTTCTGCTGGAAGCCGTGCCGGGGTGTCGTCGTTCAGCCGGTGTGAGCGATGGCGGCACTAACCGCCTTAGCTGTTAAATGTCTCGACAATGAACCGAAAGAAGCTTTGCGGACGCGCGAGCGTTCTGGGGATGCCGGCGTGCACCGGTCCCCTTCGACCGCGCCCGACCGCGTGTGTCCGCTAGCCCCGGTCCGACCGGTGACCGGTCAGGCCGCTGGACGGGATCCCGGCCGAACCGGCACCCGGCGGGCTCGTTTACCATGTTATTGGGCTGGGTCGGCGGATCGACATCTGTGGCCAGAACGGTTGGGGCCCGGCCGGATGGCGTGCGCGGTGAGCTACGCACGGGTCCGGTCGTACCTCGCCAAGAGGAAGGGGTACTAGGCGCGAGAGCCTACAATGTGGACAGGTGTTCACGGCCACGACACAAGGGAACGGTGTAAATGTGCGCGGTTGGCGGAAATTGAGGCGTTTAGCAGGCTAGTGCATGCATTCAAACCGAGAACTTTTCGACGATTTGTGGCTGTGTGTGAGCCTAAGATTTGTCCGCTGATACGACTGGTGTGATCTTTAGCCGGATCAGTCACATCAGCCTGCAGACCGGTGTGACGTGGAGCCGGGTCACTTACCTCCGCTCGCAGCCCGGTGTGATATTGAGCCGGGTCAGTGACCTCAGCCCGTAGACCGGTGTGACCTTGAGCCCGGTCAGCCAGATCAACCAGCAGGCATGCGGCCAAAATTGGAGAGGCCTTATATATGCCGGGAACGGTTTGTATACATATATTTCGATTGAACGTAGTGGCGGTATTGAAATGCAAGGTAATTCAAGGATTAAAATATTCTAATCACGTGAAATCGTTCACATTAGTCTCACATATTGTTCTGGATACACTGTTATCGCTCTCCGAGATCTTCTAAGCATGCAAAGCTCGTCCAGAGCATAGGCTCTCTTCGAGACCTCGGGAGCCAAAATCAGTCCCACAGATGCCGCCTTTTCTAATTTACCTGGCATGGAATTAGCACGCATCCGGGTGGCCGGCTCGATGCCTTTCGCTCGGGTGTGGGGGGTCAACTTGACTCCCTTGAGATCTCAGGAACTAAGAAGGCTAAGAACACCAAATTTACAGGGTGTGATGACCTGTGCGTGAAATTTAAGTTTGATGTTCCTAGGTCATTATATTTGGGTCAAACAAGGTCAAACAAGGTCAAATTCTAGGTTGGTCTCTGTCAAATGTCATTTAAGATCAGAGACCTTTTTTGACTTTTGAAGGTCATGGTGACCAAAATTATTTAGGACTGCTCTGAGTATTGCATTCGAATGACCGACAAAAATTACACGAGGCAGTATCTTCCCAAAAACGAAATGTCGACCAAGACATTTTAGGGCAGTGACCTTTTCTGACCCTTAAGAAGTCCATGAAAGATGTATAATGCGGTTCCTGGTACCAATAAATTCAAAATGAGCAACAAAAACTATTCCACATAGCACGCCCTGGAGTAATACAACAGGTTGGTTTTGATCTTGGTCTGACCCTGATACCTGACCTTAGATCACTGTAATTTGATAATTCAACATTTTTGGTGCCTAAAAAAAATTCAGATATGCATGGCTTCATCTAACACTCTGTTGTTGCATCAGATTAAACGATTCCCCAGAAATTGTCTTCGTTGAATCCATGGCCTGACTTTGACCGGCCATAGGTCAGCGACCGTACAAGATACATATAAAGTTTTGACACCAAACGATCTGCAATTGAATTGTCTACAGCTTTGCAAAATTTGGCGCGGCTACGCCGCATTGTTCGGAAACCATTTTGGGAAAACCTTCGGGAAGTCAATTTGACCTCCCACCAGGGCGCGTGTTAAACTAACTTCCCCATTTAAATACAAACATATATGGAGCAGAGATGATATCTGAGACTGTTTCAACCTAAGTTAGTTATACTTATTAGTTCTTCTTCTTTAGTTGTTCCAAATGAAGAGCAGGGGCGCAGCCAGAAAATGTGATGGCGTGGCTGCCATGATTTTCAACGGGGATGGGGGGGGGGGGGGGTATTCGAGCGAGTCTCGACTCCATTACACGCGCTAAAAAAAAAAACACAGGTTCTAGTGCATCGATGGGGGGTCGATGTCGCTTTTCCCTGGTGCCTTTAACAGTTTTGTGAGCTCGTTGTGTACATATCCACAAGCTATCCGCTAGTCTTGAGACTAAATTGTAGCCGTTGGACTCACAAGCGTTGCTGTCCGTGGTAGCGTCTATGGGATATAAAACCCGCTCGGGTTTCCTTATCGCCAAATTCTGGAATTAAATTCAGTTTTGTCGTGATGAAACACTGCGTTCGAGCCCGATGGGTGGAGGGGGGGGGGGGGGGGGGGGGCTAAAGCCCCATGAGGCCTGATTGCACCACTGCTGAAGACTTAGTTTATTACACATAGCGCATCGATTGTTCCACACAGCTTAGAAGCCACGCAGGCGGGCGTCTCACACCAGCACGATCTTACGATCCCCCAAGCCGATCGTAATCTGCTCAAAGGACACACGAGTGCGTACGCGTGTCCTTTTATTACGCATGTACGTAATAAGGGTACCGAAGTACACTGAACACATATAGTTATTCATGAATATAGTTGTCCGGAGTCTTACAGTATAGCCGATTCCTATTACTCTCCACTTCATAACATGACCCGCCAGCTTTCCAGATGGGATTCCCACGGCCTCCCGTTCTCAGCCTCGTTTGCTTTACAGTGTTAGCAATGATTGTAAGCACTGTTCGAACTTTGACCCTCGTCTGGTGTGTACAATATACACACAACTTTTTGATCAATTAGTTCGCCGACCGTCGTCAGGTGTTGTAGTCATGAACTGTATGATGTTTGGCTTTAGGTCACGTCACAACACGAGTTCTCTCCTTAGAATTGCTTGGCTTTGCTTGCTAGCCACCAGTGTCTTCTGACTGTGAATCGAGTTCTTTACTAACCGGGCTACCGGAGGGGCAGTTGGTGGATTACTGGACTCGCAATCAGAAGACCCTGGTTCGAATCCCAGCAATCCTGGGGAGGGAATCCGGGTTGTAACGGGTGGATGGCTGAAAATCAGGCAGCATTCAGCCCTAAGAACTCCACAACTCCTGGCAACGGCCAGCGCGTATTTAGCAGAAACGTTGTGTGAACACACCAAACGGCGACTAGAGTCCGAACAATTATTCCATCAATGATGCCAATCCCCCGTCTCAATCCTTTCTTAAAAGTGTAGCGTTCGCTACAGGTTAACAATTTTGTTGACAATTGGAGCACATTACTGCTACCTAGATCGATGTATCGCCCAATTAACCCAAGTTGTCAGTGGAATCTCCGTATCAGAGGATCCATCGGGAAAAGCATCCTCATCACATCTAAATTCAGTTGGACGTACCCTTCGCGTGCGAGAAATGCCCTTACACCTTGCACGAATCTTTGTGTTTTCATACATTGCCAACGAGATGTGGAGGGGTCTCTGGTTCCCCGGCGCAAGGTGTATTGTATACAACATGTATGCATGTATATAACATCTTGCTGTATTCATCTACGATGGCGAGTACCAATTATTATGATGACATCGCTGCGTTAATTTACTATAGTCTGTCCTCATTTTTCGGACAGCGGGTGTTTTACCTGTTCCGTAGCCCTGGGTCAGAGAATCCGCTAAGGGTAAGGCCGACGGGAGACATCCAGACTTTTTCTTTCCTGTCTTCCCATTACAACTTCTCATCTTCCCACGCAACGCCACCGAAGCAGCATAAATTTCGCAATGGTTAGAGCGAGGACGAAATCTGCCACCTCTTCTGCCGCACAGCCCCGCTGTCAGCGATGTCATGTCACAGTGTCTGCTTCCCGTTCTTAAGTGTTGACCTCTGCCGGTCCTGCCCGTGGAGATCGCCCATGAGACTGAGTTGACTCACAGCTCGCCTCTGGCTGGCAAAGGTCGCCCGAAGAGCAGGCATCGCTACGGGACGGTGGCATCAGCGGCTCGCTGTCCCTGGGACGGTGGCGTCAGCGGCTCGCCGTCCCTGGGACGGTGACGTCAGCGGCTCGCCGTCCCTGGGACGGAGGCATCAGAGGCTCACCATCCGTGGGACGGTGGCATCAGAGGCTCACCGTCCCTGGGACGGTGACGTCAGCGGCTCGCCGTCCCTGGGACGGAGGCATCAGAGGCTCGCCGTCCCTGGGACGGAGGCATCAGAGGCTCACCGTCCCTGGGACGGAGGCATCAGAGGCTCGCCGTCCCTGGGACGGTGGCGTCAGAGGGCTCACCTCCCGTGACGGTGGAGCATCAGAGGATTTCGCCGTCCCTGGGACGGAGGCATCAGAGGCTCGCCGTCCCTGGGACGGAGGCATCAGAGGCTCGCCGTCCGTCGCGGGACGGCCGCCCCGCCGTCGCCGCCCGACCGACGACGCCGACTCGACAGTTTGCCGGTCGTAAATCATGCCTGGAAGTAATTGTCCTGGGTGGCGACCTAATTTGGTGTCGCCGTGGATATTTCTTACTGCCCCTGACCGGCACTTACCGCGGCCAACACCGCATACGGGAGTTCCGGCCCATCGCGCGCGTCTGCCGGCGGTGGCCGCTCATCTGCTGACTTCTGCGACGGCCGGTGCGCTGGCTATCTGGTTCGGTGTTGCGCGTCGGCAGGCTGACGCGGGAAGTGGTGCTGGTGCTGCTCCAAGACGGACTAAAGGCTGGCTGTTGTTGCCTTCACTCTCCTGATGCGGATTCGATCGCCACTTACGTTCACGTTCGTGCTGGAAGTGGGTACGGGGTGGAGCTGTTAAGCCTGATGGTGATCTTAGACCACAACACTTGAGCGGCAAAGCTCCTCTATTTTTGAAGAGAAACCTTGGGTGCTTCCGTGTTAAGAGGACCTGTTAGATGGATTGATGGCGGCGCTAGCTGTCTTCGCTGGCAGGAACTCATGTTGACAGCAAATTGTTGATGGGAGCTTGCTAACAGTGTTGCAGCCGCTGCTACAGCTTCATTGTTGCGCAGTTCTGATGTCTGTTGCAGCACTGGAATAGTGTTGCCCATCCATCCGTTACATTTGTATGTCGAGGACAGAGATGTGGGCTGATTCTCACCCGTGTACGGGCGTTCTGTTACAGCATCGTAGTGACGGTGCTGGTGCTGAACGTGCACTGGAGGTCGCCGCAGACGCACCGCATGGCGCCATGGGTGCGACGCCTCTTCATCCATCTGCTGCCGCGGCTGCTGGTCATGCGCCGGCCCCTCCGACCCCGCAGAAGGTCAGAAGTCAGGTAGCTCGCGAGCCAGTGCAGTCTGCGCCGAGTAAGCTGCTCGCTAAATTACTCCAGCGCGTTGGCTAAGGGTGGTAAACAAAAACCAGCTCGTGCTTGTGTACAGCTTTGTGTTGCTACATGGGGCATGGCCCATGAAAGAAACCGTAACTAAGTGCATTGACTGTGTACGGAGTTCAACCGCATAAGAGCGTACGTTTCTAATGCCCTCGCAGTCGGACTTCAGAGGCATTCATGAATTGGCAGTGCCTCGCTTCCGCGGGCTTGCTTACCAAACTTCGGGCTCTTATGCCTTCTGGGAACGGGTGTGAAACATGCAGGCAGTGGAACACGCGCCCGGCGAGCTCCGGCATCGAAACTGGGGCTGCAGTTTAATGGTAACTGGCGGCACTGCAGCCATGCTCGCCGCATGCATTATTGACCAGCACGGCGATCTCTTCGGCAGTGTTCGGGTCAGTTGCCTGAACTTGCCGACATGTTCTGCGACCTCAGCTACAGTTACACCCTGTTATGCGCAGTCAGCAAGTGAATGCCGAGCTTGCTGAATGTTCGCTGACCTTTTGTTCGCCGCGTTTCTCCGTCACACTGCCGGTATCCGTGTTTGGAGAAGCGGGGGAGGGGGGGGGGGGGGTCATTGAGAAGGGCGTCGCTGCGCGGTCCTTCTTTGGAGCGCAGTGGCACGCCGCTGGCGTCCAACGGCTACGGCGTCAAACGAGAACCAAAACCGTCACCTGCTGAGCCAAAACCGTCACCTGTTGAGCCAAAACCGTCACTGGCCGGCACGGTGACCCGTCATCCGGAAACGTCTGAACTGACCACGCAGCTGACCTCGTAACTATGTGACATCAGTCGTCCCTCAACCTAACCCACCAGCTTACCAGTGATCTGCTCCAACTAGATGGCTTGTGATCCGACCCGGCCAGCTCCTTTGCGTACTTGACCACTTCCCTGGCAACTTAGCCCGCCGCCTGGTTCCCCTGTGTCTAACACCCGCAAGCTCCCCAATGACCTAGGGCCTACCAGCACCCTTGCGAGCCAACTCCACCAGCTCCCCCATGTGCCCAAACCCACGAGTTGCCCTTGGTTATGGCCGCACCGGCTGCCTTGTGGGCCGACACCCTCCAGTTTCCATGAGCCCAACACGCACCGCTCAGCGGCAGAAGTGTGGCTCGCTGACTGGCGCCTGACTGACGCACGGCGTCGTTTCAGCGGCTGGCGGCCGGGAGAGCCGCTGCCCGGGTCAGCTGCCGTCTTCCGCACCCCGTCAGTGGACCTGACCGATTCTCCGACGGCCTCCTCGCCAGACTCGCTAGCACCGTGCGCAGACAGGTCTGGTACACTGGCCGAGCCAGCATTGTGAAATGGCTCGACGTGCATGTCAAATTGATGGCCAGTGTCTTGCGAAGGACTTGACGTGCCTCTATCACTTTCAAGCCGTTTCCAAAGGTGTGTGCTGTTTTAGTTTACGTTCCGGCAAAATGTTTGTTCTAGTTCACCTGCTATTTATTGGTGGCTTCTGTGCAAGTCGGAGACTTTTTTCCTGCTAGCGTCTGAGCCAAAGTATGATAAGTGCCTTACGTTGCCCACGACGCATGCTTGTCTTAACTTCTATACACTAGATGTTCCATTCACTGTTCCACATTCGATTTTTGTTCTCCTGGCCTAGATTCTAAAACAGCAGCTGCAGCTCCTCTTCCCAGCGTGGCAAAGACGGACGTGTTTCTGTTCCAGACATTTTACGGACGCGCTCATCAACCCGTCGTGCCAGGTTCATGGGCTGGACAGGAACGACTGGAGTCCCTTGTGCGAGGGTGCTGCCCTCTTGTCGTCATCTGCACAATTCGAGTCAGCCACGTGCTCGCAAGATGTCCATCGCGTCAGTTGGTGTGTCAGCTTTATCGCAGAAAACACCAAAAACAAAGAAGACCAGCAAATGGTACGGCCTGGATGAAATGTGTATCTGATTTCCTCACGAGCAGTTGCGGTTGGCCACCTACGTTCGTTTTTCACAAACCCCTAGCATCCACCACGTCGCCTGCGCATGGCGGCTCTCCAATCCCCGCCGGCACTTGAGAGTACCACCCAGCTTTCCAATACTAGGATCGATAAAACGCTCCCTTTCTTCAGTCCAGCATTTCATCACATGCGTGATGACACGGCTCTGTGTGTCCCACCAGACCGGTGTTGACAGTAGACACGAGTAGGCCTGAGTTCCCGTCGCTCCAATTCCGTCTACACTCGCGCTGTCTGGCCGCAGCACAACAGCCGACAGCCGTCAGCCCTCGGCGTCATGGTTAGGCTAGGCTAGACTCGACCTTATACTTTCGTCTTTACTTGCACGTGCTCTCAGATAGTTAATGCAGACGACATCCATATGAAGCGGTTCTCGCCAGCTCATGTCGGTATGCCATGTCCCCGCAGCGTTTGATTATCGCCGCCGCCGTTGGCGGAGCAGATGGAGAAGAGTTCCGTGAATTGCAATGCTGACTGGCACCGACTGCCCCCTCCCCCTCTCCCGAGGTTAGAAATCAAATATAGAGAGTCATGAAAGGAAGCGACTATATCTCAGTCTCTGAGCGTTGATCCAGATTCTGTCCCAGCCCACTGCGCACGGGGACACGCGCGTGGCCTAGTGACGGGCCGATCTTCCGACATCTGAGGCGTAAGCAGGCCTGGGATCCCGTCGTTCCGGTCCTGTCTACGTTCATCACGCTGTCTGGCGGTAGCACACACACACACACACACACACACACACACACACACACACACACACACACACACACACACACACACACACACACACACACACACACACACACACACACACACACACACACACACATATATATATATATATATATATATATATATATATATATATATATATATATATATATATATATATCGGTGTGAAAATGCTGGAACTTTTGCAGCGTCATGTCTGCATCCTCTGGTTTTAAACATAAGCATCGTGTCATTTGGTGCGGCGAATCCCGCGAGGAACAGCTGGGCGTACATGGCCTGCCACCTACAAACTGCCCTCGTACAGCAGAAGTGGCCCTGGCTTCCAGCCACAAACCACGACCTTGCTTGAACGGTGGGCCTTGTGCGCGTGATGAGTGGCTCCGGAAGTGGTGATGTGGATGTTCTTTGGGTCATAGCGGTGCGCCACGGGGTTGCATTCTAGTAGCGTTAGTCACTTTTGCCGTGATAACCATGCGACTTTACCCATCGTTCTACGGCAGGTGCGCGAGGACTGGAAGTATGTGGCGATGGTGTTGGACCGGCTGTTCCTCTGGGTGTTCCTGCTGGCGGTGGTGATCGGCACCGCCGGTATCATCCTGCAAGCGCCCTCTCTGTACGACGATCGCGTTGCGCTGGATCAGAAGTACTCTGAGATCGGCAGGCACCGGCGAAAAAAGTGAACGATGCTGGCGGTAGCCTAGCGACTGGTCGATAAAACTGTGGTTTATGGTAACCTCGGTAGATGGCACAACAATAGGGTCGCTACCGATTTCGACAATTGCTGTGGCGACGCGCGGCTGTCGGGCGAACGGGCTTTGGTTGACGGGGATGGAGCATTAGATGAAGGAGTGTAGTATTGACATGCGCGTAAGTGACAGTAGCATGTTTAGTTCTACATGGCCTCGTCGAAAGCAGAAAAGAATCCATGTTTCGTTGTTAAGTACAATACCAAAGTTTAGGTAGGTATGTGGCACCTGCACCGCCGGATTATGCATCGCTTTCTGTGCATCTGATGGATCAACAATTGTAAGAAAGTAGTCATCAGTGGCCTGTTCAGCATTAGTGTTAACCAAGCCTGGTGTCATGGTTCACCGCTGGGTTTTAGACATCGTGTTCTGCTACTGAGGGACTTTTTTACTTAGTGTACCATGGCGTAGTACTTAGTTTTGCCATCCCGTGCATTAGAGGTTTATTTTGCCCATAGTTGCCACCTTCCAGTGTTCCCCCATTACATTAGGGCTGATTTTAGTACTAAGAGGTGGTTATTACGTCTAACGTTGTGCAGCAGACTGAATGAGTGAAAGCGTGCCACGCGATCGATTAGCGACGTTGGCCGAGTTCACGTCACACACTCACCTAACAATAGATGACCTGAGAATGCCGGGCACAGATGGGACCGATTTAGCGTGAAATAAGTGTCGTATGGAAAATAGCAGCAGCTGACCTAAAAGAGCATTAAGCGCCCGACAGACGCTTTTTTCGGTGGGGCACTTTCAGTTCGCACTTAGCTCCAAATGAGATCCTTTAATGTCAGTAGATTTCTATGGCCTTCGAAGGTGGCCTTGCCACTGGAAGGTAAATTATCGATACATCTTTTTTCTGTGAAGACCGGGCGCTGCTCATCAAACGGCCAGCCTTATTCAGTAGATATGAGCCCACCTCATGGTCTCGCACAAAATTATATTCGCACTACACTGCTGCTGGGAGTATGTACATCGCGGTTCAAAACAAGCAGTGATGAACCAAACTCGTGAGTACGATTTCTTGAAAAACGGGGACAAATTTCAGACTGACCCCCACTCAGTCCTAAGAGATGGGTGTTTTAGTTACGGCATGCTTCCATTATGAAATACCATGATATGCTTTGATTGATGGTCACGTTCATCATCCACGCAGAGTCTTCGGTTTAGCAGAATTCATGCGGGTATCGCCCGTCATATATGCGTTATGTCCATGTTCTCGCCGCGTCAGCTGGCCCCTCTACCTCATTTGCAGGGATATGCTTACCTCCCGATTTTCCGTCATCGCATGCACACTGGCCCAGTTGCACCGTTCGTCGCGTCATTCGGTCAGTGTACACCATAGCACCCATAAGTCGCCTGCCTGAGACGCACAGCTGGCGGAACCTCCCCACGCGTTTTCAGAAAATGTCAGCAGAGAAGAGTAGTGAATTTCGTATTCCCATGGCAAATATGTCGTGACCAACCGCTACACCAAAGTCACACACGAAGTGATGCGTGTCTGTATCGTGCTTCTCGTGATGGGCATGCCGTGGGCCCGGTTTAGTGCGGAGAGCGTAGCAGGTGGTAGCGGTGTAGGCGTAACATAAGTGCACTTGGGCATGTGGAATCAGAGCGGGGGCGCCGACGGCATGCTGGCCGTCTTTCAGGGGATCTTGTGAACCTTTGCCACAGGACGGAGGCCGAGAACGGGCTCGCCGGGTGGTAAGTCGTTGGAAGGTAATTCCGGCGCTCACGTGAGAGCTTCCCCGCGTTCCAGTGGGCTGCTGGTGCTTGTTCGATTGTCCAGCGACCTTAAGAACCTTTATCGGAGACGCAAAGAGAGCAATACACTCCCAAGTTGAAAGTTGTTTGTTGACTATACCAATTCACGCCCTCGTCCAGCGGTCTTTCGAACGCGAGCGATCTGGAGCGGGCCCCATATTCTTAGTTCGATACCACTTCGCTGAATATAAAGTCGTCTAGCTTAATTTACATTTCGTCGATGCATGCATACCCAACAACACCAGGGCTCTTCCAAATGATTGCAGAGTAATTTGCTAATGATTTCCACCCTGGTGAAATTCACTCAGCTTCAGAAACAATTTGCAATATAACTTCCACATGCTTTGAGGAGGAGATCATAAGGCTTCTCGGAACCTAACTCTCTTGTACACAAAATCGTTAATCGCAATCTTGGTGCACACCCAGTGTTCTTGCAAGGAGGGTTTCAATCTCGCGATCTCCAACGACGAGGCCAATCATTGTGAACACCTTAATGCGGCAACAGGCGCAGAGCTTCTGGTAGTTTTGTTGTTAGCATTTTTAGGACTTTCCGTCGGTATAATCCAGTGCGCTGCAGTGAGGAATGCAAGGGACCGTGCGACAACTATGCATATAATTTTCCCATGCCTTCCACATCCCATTTCCCGCAACGCTATTTCAGAGTTCATTGACGCAGCGCCAGCCTCACCCATAGCTGACAAATGGCTAACACGAGTCATCGCTCTCCATTTCACGATTATGTGATGTATGGATAACCTCTGTAATGAGGCACGCTTTCCAACGCTCATACTCCAACCCACATTCATCCTCTCCTTCGATGTCACGGCACTTAACGTCTGTTACAGGACGGGAATGGATTCCTCTACCCCACGTTTGTGTAAGCCTCTGGTATGATAGAAAAGGAGTTTGGATGGCTGCAAGTGCTGTGATCCTCAGGAAATTCATGCTACTGGGGCGTCAGCCGTGTCATCCACTAAGTTATGTTCCACTTCTCGCAGTTAAGCGATGCCCCCCCCCCCCTCCCCCAGCCACTCGCAGGCTTGGAGCGAAACGTCTGCATTGATGGTCAAGGGAGAAATTAAGAACACCATCATACTAAAAAATAGGTGAAACATCCTCTCTCTCTCTCTCTCTCTCTCTCTCTCTCTCTCTCTCTCTCTCTCTCTCTCCTCTCTCTCTCTCTCTCTCTCTCTCTCTCTCTCTCTCTCTCTCTCTCTCTCTCTCTCTCTCTCTCTTCTCTCTCTCTCTCTCTCTCTCTCTCCCTCTCTCCCCCCTCTCTCTCTCTCTCGCTCTATCATCACAAATTATCTGATCTATTGCTTAAGTATTTTACTTGGGCCTCAGAAACAACTCGATGAATGCCCAAAATCAAATCAGGCATAAACAATCGATACTGAAACTACATGCGGACGGCTTCCAAAACGAATCCAAGTGCACAATGCTGGATGTACGTGATATATTTCTACATAAACAGTCAGAAAGCGACAGTTGTTCGTCAATGGCACACGGCAACACCACATCGGCGTATGCTGAATGAGATCGCCGCATGTATCTCCAAACATCGCACTTGATTAAGCCTCATCAAACCCTCGTACCACCCCAGCATCTGCCAACCAAACATCCAGATCCGCGACGCAGTTGAACGGACCCATCCCGGCCCAGAAGTATTGCCAATGCGAGATCACACACGGACTGTGCCAGTCTGAGCAGGTGGCGACATTGGCGACGCTGAGGAGATCAGCGCGCAGCGGACGTGCCCATCCCTGACAAGGGTGTCGTCGTCACCACCGCTGATGGCAGCGCCGCCGCTCAAACACCTTACAGTTACAGCAGGAGGGCAGCGCTGGGTCGCTGCCCGGACGACGTCGCGCGGCCATCCTGTGCAGCGTGTCCTCCGCCTGGCCCTCCCTCCTTCTGAGTGGCGCTGCCGGGGCGCGCTGCACACAGCGTCGGAGAGCGCCCGCGGCAGGATGCACGCCGCCGCCGCTCTGCGGCCGTTCGTCGCTTAGCAAAAACCGCGCCGAACCGTCCATTGAGCATGGGATGAAACTCTCCAGTCTGTTTCGGCGCCGGACGACGGGGTCAGCGCGATGTCAGCACGGGGTCAGCGGGGTCATGAGGAGGTGACGTCGCCGGCCCGACCGACGCCCGCACGGCCGCGCGGCTGCGGGGGCGGAAGCGACGGTGACACGTGAGGATGGTTTGGCGAGACAGCAACACTTCAGAGGCTGCCGGCGAGCGGGCCACGTGGCAGTCAAGGTGCCGCTCGCTGCGGGAGGCTCGGCATTCCAGCACCGAGCCATACATGAAGCTGAAAAGCGGGACGACCTGTCCTGCACATGTCGAAAATCAGCTACACAGTTCGAAAGCATAACGTCAATCGACTTAACAGTTGCCATCAATAGACATTTCGACCAAACAAAGCTTTACATTAACAAAGACGCACTATCGCCTGCTAGAATGGCCACATAAACATTATTTGTTGTCAGCGAACACGTATTTCCTGACATCACAAACAACGCATTCCAAGAAACTGAAACTGGGCGGTGTTATACAGGTTCTCCTTCATGAGATCTGTCTCCTGACCTTGAACAATAAGCCTATCTCACTTAATACGAACACCGTATCAAACAGCTTACATAAACAATCAACCCGTCATGTGAAGAACCCCAACCTCACCTCTAGCACCACCTGTCGTAAAAGAACCCCAACCTCACCTCTAGCACCACCTGTCGTAAATTATATTCGCAGGAAACAGCTCGCACATGCACATCAGCGGTGTCTATGCCCCGACTCCCTGCCACCGTGTATCGCCGTTGGCCATGCCCACCTCTAAGCGTCTTTCCTCCCGTCACAATCACGGACAGCTAAGGTCTCTGGCTGCTGCGCCACACGCGCGGCGGCCTTGAGCGAGGACACCAGCATGCATACATTCTGCCTCTTCTGGTCACCGGAGATCGCACGGAAACCTGAGGCCAGCGTTCCAGCATTGGTCCTCGACGACACTAGAGACTGCAATGGGGGAGGGGGAGCGGGGGGGGGGGGGGTTGAGCGCGGCGCACAAGATCAGATTGGCCGGAGCCGGAGTTCAGCTTACGCTCAAGCTCCGTCTTCAACTCCAGAGCCAAATGCCGCCCCAAATGCGGCACCAAAACCAGCGCCAGCGTCAACTCAACGCGCCAGCAACAGCGCCGCTGTCCCAGCGCCAGCAACGCCGCTAACTCAAGCTTCGACTCCGCGGAATACGCGCCGCTCCAGCTTCAGCGTCAGGACGCGATCCAGCGCCGCTTTATGTCCAGCACCGGGTCCTGTCGCGGCTCCAGCCTACTGGCGTCCGCCCTGCTGGTCCTGCGGGTCTGGATTTAGCATCCGGTCCTATTGCGGCTCCAGCCTACTGGCGTCCGCCCTGCCGGTCCCGCGGGTCTGGATTTAGCATCCGGTCCTATTGCGGCTCCAGCGCCTGCTGGCGCCCGCGCTGCGTGGCGCCCGCGCTGCGTGGAGATCCGTACCGTGGGGTCTGGATCTCGCCAGCACCGGGTCCCGCCGCGGTCCGGCCTCTACTGGCGCCCGCGCTGCCGGTCCCGTGGGGTCTGGATCTCGCCAGCACCGGGTCCCGCCGCGGTCCGGCCTCTACTGGCGCCCGCGCTGCCGGTCCCGTTGGGTCTGGATCTCGCCAGCACCAGGTCCCGCCGCGGTCCGGCCTCTACTGGCGCCCGCGCTGCCGGTCCCGTGGGGTCTGGATCTCGCCAGCACCAGGTCCCGCCGCGGTCCGGCCTCTACTGGCGCCCGCGCTGCCGGTCCCGTGGGGTCTGGATCTCGCCAGCACCAGGTCCCGCCGCGGTCCAGCCTCTACTGGCGTCCGCGCTGCCGGTCCCGCGGGGTCTGGATTTCGCTGTACTGCTCGTCAATCGGCCGGCGGTCGTCGTAGAGCGTGGGCGCCTGCAGGATGATGCCGGCCGTGCCGACCAGCACGGCCAGCGTGAAGATCCACAGGAACAGCCGGTCCAGCACCATCGCCACGTACTTCCAGTCCTCGCGCACCTGCCGGCCGGCAGCAGAGGCGCCTATCAGGGACATGATCGTCAGCTATTAGTGCATTAGTTACCATGGGATCCATTTGAAAGCTATTGCGAGATATCCGTACATTTTCTAACGATGTCTCAACGGTCTGTGACCATCCTGATTACAATTATTCAATTTACACCTGTTTGCACCTAGTCATACTTAATGCTCATTCTACACGTTTGTTCGTTTCATCTGATCCACACATCGCACCTAGATCAAGCCACTCGGAAATACTGGGAATGCCGAAAAAGGAGGTCTGCAATGTCCATTTCTCTGCTATAATGTAATCATTTACCTCAAGGATCAACCCTTCAAAATGGTCCGAATCAAAGAAACGGCACCACTCCAATACAATTGGCTTATGGGATTCAATAAAGGAGATTGGAGACATCTTTAAGGGTTTAATTCTATGGGCACGGGAAGTGTTTTTATCATGTTTATGGATTCTATGGCATTTTTACTCATGAAATGTGTGCCTGATTCCCCGAGACGAATTCAAATTCATCCTATGATGGTTTGCGAATTTTCCCTTCAGGAAACCAGCCGGAAGTGCAGCACATAATGCAAAAGCGTTGTCCCATGCCGGAGTAACGCCACCAATATCCCGCCCTCCTCTCATCGCCATAAGATGCTTTTCGAGCATCGATCGCTAAGACACAGCCCATGACACTACGAGGCAGTGCTGGTCTCGAACAGTCACAAAGCCTTAAAGATCGCCTCAATCTTTGGATACTTAGATGTGGCCATGAGAGCTCCAGCGGTTCGTCCTTCAAACAGTGTCGGTGCGCCTTGGCATTGCGTATAAATTATGTTAGGGCTTGAAATCTCGCCAATCTGCACCAGCACTGAATGTTTTCTTATAGGGGCGCGACGGAATAAAATATAGTCAAACGCAACATATAAACCTCTTACGCCAGGCATGTAGTGTATGACCACCTTGCGTAGGTCTTAATCGTTACTTTTTGTTCCGCCGCACACTCAGAACGGACGATCACTGCTTTCACTTCGAGGTGGCACACTCAGGATGTACGATCACTGCTTTCACTTCGAGGTGGCACACTCAGAACGGACGATCACTGCTTTCACTTCGAGGTGGCACACTCAGAACGGACGATCACTGCTTTCACTTCGAGGTGGCACACTCAGAACGGACGATCACCGCCTTCACTTCGAGGTGGCACGCTCAGGATGGACGAGCACTGCCTTCACTTCGAGGTGGCACGCTCAGGATGGACGAGCACTGCCTTTATTCCTATCTGACATTGCAATAGCCATGCCTGCGATCGATGCGCTCGCGGCCCGATGTAACGCCGATACGGCACGAGAGCGCCAGCTGCCGGTGAGCTTCTGGAAAATGTCCGCGCTTTTGACGGTCTGTGACTGGGCGTTCCCTCAGCCTCGCCGACCACCCCCCAGCCACCGGGAGTCAACGACCAGCAACGGATCGTGCGGTCGAGACACAGACTCAGAGCAGGCCGCAGCGCGAGACACAAACTCAGGGCAGGCCGCAGCGCGAGACACAAACTCAGAGCAGGCCGCAGCGCGAGACACAAACTCAGAGCAGGCCGCAGCGCGAGACACAAACTCAGAGCAGGCCGCAGCGCGAGACACAAACTCAGGGCAGGCCGCAGCGCGAGACACAAACTCAGAGCAGGCCGCAGCGCGAGACACAAACTCAGAGCAGGCCGCGGCGCTTTACTGTCATGCTGCCAAAACAGATAAAAACAGACCCACAAATCAAGCAATAGGGCAACAGCTGGCCGCAATGACTCGGCAAAGGGGCAGATGCCATTCGTGGGCTCGCGCCACACCAGTACGGGCCGCTGTAATGGACGACGTCACCGTGATCCTGGTCTGTGATGATAAAGAGTAAATAGTTGCAAGATGATCATGCAATGCCGTCAGTGAGTAAATCATAAGTGGCGCGAAAAGTCGCCCATGCGGAGGCGGAGCCACAGGCAAAAGACACCAGGACAGGGCCGCGAAGAAAGACAAAGAGATGGACACAAAGGCACGGTGGAGGCAGCGACGAAGACATTATATTCTGTTACGTCCAGCGTGCGAGATGCAATGCGTTCTCTGTGATAAGCTCAAAATCTTCAAACCAGAGGCAGCAGATCGAAGGGCTGATCTTACCTGTCGCCCTAAAGCATGAACGTTAAGGCTAGCATGCCTGTCATGAATAACACTAGGCATCTTTTCACTAGCGAAAATATGGGATAGCTTGGCCATTCCTTTTCATATGTTTCTACAAAACTCATGAAAATCGTGAGAATATGTCGCGACCATAAGCACAGTTTGAAAAGATGAGCATTGCCAATGCAACCGATGTCTGTTTGATGACGTCCCTTAACGCATTCCTCCTGGTATATTGAAGATTGGCAACTGTTTCCATAAGAGCTCTGTACTACTCCTACCAAAATATCAGGCATAAACAGGATATCAAGGATATCAAGATCTTGCTTGCTTATAGCAAACCATGAATGACACATATTCGGAGAGCTAAATGCAGTCGCAGATAAGACAGAAAACAACATAGATGCAGGGACATGGAAAAGGATCAAGGACCAAATCTCTCGACATAAAAAACTTGTGAAAGGCACTAAAACGGTAGAGACAGAGTCAGAAACACGGGCACAGAAACGGATGGAAGCATAAGAGCCAGATGAAAAGCCAAATTTCAACCAAAGATATCGTCAACGGTGGGGACGAAAAAGGCAGTCGAGGCAAGGAAATGGGCAGCGAAATAGACGGGAAAAAGACAGACATGCCTGGAAGCGCGAGAGGGAAGCAGATGAGAGCCAGCGATCCGATTACCGAGCGTGTATACGTGCTCGTTGCTGAGGGTTTAAGCCTAGCACGGCTACGCGCCGGGGCCTATTTTGAGCCGTTCCGCTAGCCGGCCACATCAGACAATGTGCGACCATGGCGACGTCTGCGGTGCCGCCGCCCGGCTGGCCCGTGTCGCCGCTGCCGTCCGACCCGGCACACCCGGCACACCCGGCACACCAGGCACGCCACGGGCGGACCCGGACCGCTGTTTGGAGGCGGCGCCGCGCCGCTGCTCTGGCCGCCGTGTCACAGACGGGCCCAGCGGAGGCTGGGGAGCGGCGCTGGGACTGCCGAGCCCCGCCCTGAGCTGAGGAGTCCCGCCCTGAACTGACGAGTCCCGCCTTGAACTAACGAGTCCCGCCCTGAACTGAGGAGGCCCGCCCTGAGCTGAGGAGTCCCGCCCTGAACTGGCAAGCCATGAACTAAGGAGTCCTGCCCTGAGCTGAGGAGTCCCGCCATGAACTGAAGAGTCCCTCCCTGGAGTGACGAGTCCCGTCTTGAACTGAGGAGGCCCGCGCTGAACTGAGGAGTCCCTCCCTGGACTGACGAGCTGGAGCTGGAGGGGCCCAACCTGAGCTGGAGGGGCCCAACCTGAGCTGAGGGGACCCGCTCTGAACTAACGAGTCCCGCCTTGAACTGAGGAGGCCCGCCCTGAGCTGACGAGTCCCGCCCTGAACTGGCAAGTCATGAACTAAGGAGTCCTGCCCTGAGCTGAGGAGTCCCGCCCTGAACTGACGAGTCCCGCCATGAACTGAGGAGTCTCGCCCTGAACTGGCAAGCCATGAACCAAGGAGTTCTGTCCTGAACGGATGAGTCCCTCTCCGTGCTGAGAAGCGAGACAGTCAGAGTCTAGGGTGACCACACCTACTTCCAAGGACATCCCACATTTCAAAGAGGTTTCCTGGATCAAGGATCCGCCTAAAATGGAAAAACTGATTAGCACTTCAAGCGCGAAAACTCTCAAATCTATCTTCCAGGTCCAAGCAGACTGATCGGTCTCCAATGTGGGATCAGTCGGTCGGGGTGAAAGGTCTTCCTGGATCGCGGTCTCTCCCCGCACGCAGCGGCTTCTCCGGGTCTGGGCAGAGCACAACACTGCGGAAAGCGTGGAGCCGCGGGCCCAGCCAGCGCACGGCCGCAGAGACGGCGCCTCGGCCATTCATAGTTCAAGCTCAGCTGCTAGAAAAGAATAATGCTTCTCCTTTGCACGCCTTTACACGACGGGCCCTTTGAACGCCGCCAGCGGACCAACTTTGTCCTCGTTTGACATCTATTGGACGACGAAAGGTGAGTTATTGCGACGTCATGTTTCTCTAGTAAGACGTATGCTGATAAGGACACAATAAGCGCCGGGACATAAGCTGGGTGGCAGCAAACTGGAAACTGCTGCACCACGCAGCGAGCCAGCGAGATAGTTCATAACAGGCCTGAAATTTGTGACAGTCGGACGGCCTGCCAAATGCCTTGGGCGTTTTTCCAGTCGTCCAATCGGCACCACCTCTACCCTCACCCTAGTGGTGTCCTGTTCCCGCCTGGTGCTCTCGGCAATGAACTTGACGCCCTCGAAGGCGCGGAACACCTCCGGACAGTAGCCGAAGTCGCATAAGCGCGTCTTGTGCCTGCCGAAGTCGCCACCCGACGGGCTGGGGTTGCCATGGACACGGCACGGCGTATTCAGGCCCAGCGCGTCCAGATCGGCCCTGAGGAAGCAGCACGCGTTAGAAAGGGCCACGTACTCCCGGCAGCAGCAGCACAGAACACACAGCCGCAGGGGCCAGCTCCGGTTGGCGGAGAGGCACAGGAGTCCTTTGAACTCATCAGGCATCACCACTTGTCGGCTTCGTATCTACGGCGTTGTGCGCACTGGTTTGAGGGTGATCTAGCGAGCCGTTTCGAGCTGTGTCTCCTTGCTCGCGGACCGCCGGCCACAGAGAGCAGTGTGCGCGCCCTTACCCTCTTGACACGCACCAGGGCCCGGCCGTCGTGTCGTCATTGTGCAGTGTCCACAGCCACGACTTACCGCTACGCGGGGAAGACGCAATGTTACCACCATGTGGACTTCACCCAGGTTGTTGCATGGGACTAAGGAGCGTGGTATTGCTAGAGTCATGGGGGAGCAGTGAGTACGTTGCCGGATCTGACACGGTGATTCCGTGAGGATACCATGGAACTAATTGCTTATAGAATGCAAATGACTTACCCTTGGATCGCGTCAAAATAACAGCTTCGCATCAGGTATATACGAAGTAGCTTCACACGATTATCCGCGAAAGCAAACGATAAAGACCCAGGTGTCATATTCGACCGCCAGATGTCTTTCAAACAGCACATTACACACTAGATGAGGCGCTGCTCGGGAACGTGGCTGGCTCTGGGTCACGCAAACCATGGCGTCTCATTCCAGGTTTTACCTGTGCGGACAAATGGATTTGGACTTGTGTCAACGTCAATTCCGACTGCGTTACTGTGCATGTGATGGCCGGTTGTCAGCTGACCAGGAAAATTAAAATATGTGAACTCCTGCACCCGGGCCTTCGCGCAATTGTAAACATCTCGCCATCCGTCCAGCACTGAAGCCTCTGGGCAGGGTGACCGCTGCTCTGATCCGGCAACACTGCGCTGTGACTATTCTACGTCGGTTGCTACCATAGTCGGAGTCTGTGACTGGTGCGTTGTAACCACATTCCCACGCAATCGTGACGGCAACCCCCGAAATAGCAGGGGCAGATGTAGGAAACACGCTATGTACAGCGCCCCGGGTTATACCATGAGCCACCGAATGTCATGCACACAGCCCGCCCCCCCCCCCCCCCCGCAAACTGATCCATTCTGCGTACGTGGGGAACGCATGTAACAACAGATCGTTTTAATGAGGATCTATATGGAATGCCTGACGCCAGGCCGCTGTGAGTCTGGCATGCACCAATGTGTGGCCATTTCACTGCGATACTGATGTGCCCGCTCAACCTGGGCATCCTCTTTCGGTTCAGTTATGGACCCAATTGACGGAAAATATGATAGCTACTCCGGCAATGGATACGTTCGATATGCAGCTATGATAAATTAATGTCTTTATTCATGGGACGTTTGCTTATATAAAATACCTGCTTATACAAATACATGCGCGCACCGACACCCACACCCACACCCACACCCACACCCACCTCCACCCCACACACGTACACACGTACGCATGCACTCACGCACGCACGCACACACGCACGCACGCACGCACGCACGCACGCACGTACGTACACACACACACACACACACACACACACACACACACACACACACACACACACACACACACACACACACACACATATATATATATATATATATATATATATATATATATATATATATATATATACACGGAATGAAGGAGATATGATCTTAAAACCAGTGGTGCTAGAAGCTCACCAAGTATATAAGCACGACAGAATCGAGAGCCTCTCCGTCCTATCGACTCTTGGATCCAGCTTTTCCAGAGCCACAATGCGTCCACGTCAATTCTGTACAATATTGACTTTCCGGTGACAATGACCGAAGACGTAAATCGGAGCCGAAGCTGTTATGAGAAAGCCTCGCCCTCGCTCTTCCTCTCCCTCCCAATCTCGTTCCTCCTCTCTGTCGCTCTCTCCCTTTCCATCAAGGTTTTTTCTCGCACTCTTTCCTCCATGGTCGGTCACTATACCTAACTGTTTCTGTGATCTGATGTCTGAATAACCAATTGCCTTGCACCAATAGCGTACTGGCAAAGCTTAGGCGACGCTTAACTCCGAAATATGGATGCTCATGAGATGCTATAATTAACACAACTCTTGGTTGGGAAAATTTTCTCTCGTCTCTCCGGCACGCGTGTTTAAATTTTCACTCCACGTTCCGTGTTCACTCTATAGTGGTACAAATGCGAGATCAGTCTGGGATCCAAAATCCCAACTGACTACACAACCAAGATACAAATTTTTACGCCAATGTTGAGCAATATCGACCGAATGCTGCTCGTTAACAGATACATTTGATGGCGAGGAACAGATAGCAGACCGGGAAGGGCAAGGTCATACACCTAATGACTTCGGTTACGTGAACAAGGTTATTGCAGCATCTAAGAGTCGAGCGACAAGTTCTAGGGTTGCGCATAGATTGGAAATGCTGATCAGAAAATAGATCGATTGACCGAAAGGGACACCCAAAATTTCGGTGGGTAGTCTCAGGCGAACAAATCTAACAAACTAAATCTGTCTGCGTCCAAAACGAACTTTTTTCTGCAGGCAAACACAAGGAAAAACGACTTGCAGAAAGCACTATAGAGCATATAAGATAGTGTCACTCCGTGGTGAGATCGGAAGCGTCCTTGGCTAGATCAACTCAAAACATGAATTAAGGGATGGAAGCTTTTAGGCTCTGAACCCCACATCTTCTGCGCGTTCTAAACGGAGAAAGCTGATCGTCGCCTCAATAACACGTCCTGGCGTCGACATTACCCGCGCGGATCAAATCGACGGCAATCTCGACGCAGCAAAACGTGTAGTAGAACAAGCTGCCATATGTGTGTAGTGGAACAAGCTGCCATATGGGTGTAGTGGAATAAGCTGCCATATGGGTGTAGTGGAACAAGCTGCCATATGGGTGTCAGAATCGCCCAGCTCACGTTAGGAAGCGGCGGTGCAGCAGTGTACAATTCTGTATTTGGCCCGTGCCCTTTGCACCCTCGCCTCCAATGTCTGCCACAGTACGGTCGTCTTCCCCACAGCATCATCCTTAGAGGAAGGGACATTGCGCTGCAGCGCGTCGGTTTCAGGTATAACATCTTTACCGGTTTGGCTCACATAGATAATCCATTTTTAGCGTCACAAGTAAAAAAGGATGCCGAGGTTCACTAATAACTCCGAAGAGGGCAGCACTACATTTGCATATACTGAATAATTTGGCATATGCCCAGTGTAGTCTTTCATATGGGCCAAGGGCAGAGATTCGCAGCACCGCTCTCGCCCCGCCGCAGGTTTTGTACGACCAAGGGCCTCGGCCAAATCCTCGCAGACGCTGACTCAGCTAATATGCAGCTTTCTACTTGTAGCAAACGGATACAAGTTTGACAATGCGTCTGCTTCGTTGGAGGAATGGCTGTCAGAGCGTTCAATGCCAGTGCAACCTATACCAAATTTCCAAGATTGGTAAACGATTTTTATTCAAGATGTCGCACAGACTCCCACAGATGAAAGCGGGGTGAGATGTATTAGTTTTTGCCTTGAGCTCTCTCATACCATGACTACTGAGCATAGCGCTAAAATTCATACATCTACAGATATCTATGACATGTACAGTGTTTTTTAAGCTTTGGAGACCACGTCTCCGTCTTTCATAAATGGCTTCCAAATGTCCTTCTTTCAAATGATTACGCCTACCCCGCCCTGCGGTAAGTTGCGTTACATGGTGGGGAGAGTTGTGTTTGTTTTTTGTATGGGCTGCCCTGCATTGCAAGCAAGCTGTCTTTGCTATTTTGTAACTCGTCACAATTGCGTCACGGCAAATATATTCCTTATTTAGTCGGTCAGTGTTTGTTTTACTACTACTGCCACCCTGGTTGCAGTTGACCAGGTAGGAATTATGATTTATATAGGTGCTGTAAATGTCGACTTGCATGGATAAGAATATATCACGGAAGTCGTGTCGTCAATCATGAAAAATTATCAGTCAAAGACATCATGTCGGCACATTTTGTCACTGGTACAACAAGCCTCATGTGCAGCTGGTATAACATGTACCGCCCGATGCCTTGAAAGAACATTTGCGACATCCCGAATTTCTTTGCTATCAAAGCGAAATGCTCCCGGGGCATATGAGGCACATGTACTTTCCCACCATCCATTATAGCGTTCAGAATAGTCTGGTTACGCCGTAAAACTTAAACACATATTTTCGCCGATTTATAGAGCTCTCAACATTGAGCAAAAAACAAGTTTGTTGCGCTCACTCAAAGACGTGTGCTTGTATGCAGCCAGAGGTGCATTGACAGATGAAGCGGGCTGCTGTGCGTCAGCTGAGTGCCTCAAGACTGTCAAACATCGCATGGATTTAGAGTAAATCACCTTGATACTCCCTGGATAAGATATTAGTCATCCCACAAGCCCCTACTAAAATCCCGGACAATGAGGAAGCCGTAATGATCTCTTTTGTCACCGATCGATGCAAAAACAAATTTTGGCAAAAGGGATTGCGCATCTCGGAAGACATTCCACTGGTAATTGCATAAAAAATCCCCCCACTCTGCGACAACAGCTAGAAGCCGCATAGAGATCTGATGTCTACTGGCTATTTTGTATAGGATTGTTCTGAGCAACAACCGGGAAACCTGTTGTTCTCGTGCATTATTACTGCGTGATGCGTTTGCGTTTGCGTTTTGCGTTTGTAGAAATGCTTCACAATTATCTAATTTCTCTTCTCTTAGCGATCTTTAGCTCCATTCACAATACTGTTTCCAATGATTACCACAGTTGACTAATTTGCTGTTTAAATTTTCCAGAACAAAGCAGGTGGGTAGGACGAATTAACACGCGCTCGGGTGGGGGTTAAATTGACCCCAAAGGTTTTTCCAGAATGGTTTTCGGACGGCGCAGCGTAGCCGTGCCAAATCTTGCAGAACTGTGGGCGATTGAATAGCGGATCGTTTGACATCACAAATTTGGATGTACCT